ATAGACACCTGGAGAGAAAGATGCTTCAGAGGGGTCTGAAGGGGAAGTTATCTCATAGACACCTGGAGAGAAAGATGCTTCAGAGGGGTCTGAAGAAGGAGTTGTCCCATAGACACCTGGAGAGAAAGATGCTTCATAGGGGTTTGAAGGGGGAGTTGTTTCATAGAGATCTGGAGAGAGGGATGCTTCATAGGGGTCTGAAGGGGGAGTTGTCCCATAGAGGGAGGAAGGAAAAGGAATCTGATTAAGATCTAGAGGGGAGAATGTCTCATAAGGAACTAGAGGCAAGGGTGTTTGATGAAGATCTGGAGGGGAAAATGTCTGATAGAAATCTTGAAGATGAGTTGTAGAAACAGGGTCTACAGTAGAGAATGTTTCACTGAACTTTAGATCAGAGGATATCTTACTAAACTCTGGTGGGGGAAATGTCTGATCCAGGTCCACAGTGGGGAAATTCTGATCAAGGTCTAAAGTGGGGGATACCTGTTCTAGGTCCTTAGGGGATGGCATCTCATTGGATTCATGGGGTAAGAGTGAATGATTAGAGCCCCTGTGGGGCAATGTGGCATTGTACCTTTCTTTTAGAGGCTTGAAACCTCTGGGGGACATCAGCATATTGTGTACAAAGTTGGTGACTCTTTTCCTTTTTCGGGTCTTAATCAAACCTGAAGATTTCCTGAACCTACCATTTACTCTGTTCTTTCCTATTTTTAAAGGATTGTGCCAATTAGCAGAAGGAATTCTTTCTCTCCAAGGTGTTGCAGCATCCTGGGGGCTATTCAACAGCTTATCTTCAACCTCATCTTTGTTTGTATCTTTGATGATTTCATAGCTCACTTTCTCAGAAACCAAATTCCATTTCCCATTCAAAACCTTTGGTGGGTCCTTCTGGTTAACAACTACCAGATCATCTAGAGTATCTTCTTGTGTTCCTGCTCTGGAGTTGGGAATGTCACTGCTCTGAAGATCAGGCTGTTCTAGAGTTAAATTTACCCTCACATTACCTGTTGGTAGTTCTACCTGTGTATGACTGGAGTGTACTGATGTATTTCTTTCTACCTCAGGTTGGTTAGCTGAGGTAGTGATAAATTTGGGAGTCTCCTCATTGACCTGGTTGGCTTCCTTCTTGGCATCTTCTTGGCTATGGAGTTCTTCTGTGGCAAGAGAAGACAAGGTTGTCCCCATGGCAGTTGAATGTATATCCTTCTTGACAAGTTCTTCAGAATGGGACCTGGGATTCTTCAGAATGGAGGCTACAGAGTGTAATGCAATGGAGTGTGTACCTGTAGTGGTGATGTTCTCCAAGGGAGGCCCAGTTGTGATTACTGAGTAAGGAAGAGTGGCTTGAAGTTTGGGAATGCTACCAGGGTCTTTTGGGGAAGGCTGAGAAGTGCCCAATGATGCATTCACATTTAAGGGAATCATTTCAGATATTTCTTCCATAAACAGAGCAGTCAGATTGAGACGCTCATCTCCCTCCTGCAGTCCCGATGAATTTCTAAATGATCTAATACCAAACTGCAAAGCCAGTTCTTCCTGGTAATCACTATCATCTTCCCCTCCACCTTCCGTTGAATCAGGCATGTTTCTGGCAGTGGCTTTATTCTTCTCTGTGACAACCTTTTCCACATTGTCATCAAATAGAATTTCATAGGAGTCATCCTCGTAATCCCTTATACATTTGACATCCCTGAATCGCAACCTGAGGTTTTGATTTCTCTGGTTGGAACTTATAGAAGTCAGCATCCAGGTTCCTACAAAAACAGGGGAGAAACAAAACAACCCAGCAAAAATCTGGTTAAAAAAAAAACAACAAAACTATTCTTGAAGATAATTCCTAATCCATTTTGAATTTACGTAAGAAAGGATGAGTCAGGAATCAAAGAGGTCCTTAGTAACATAAACACATGTTATCTCTGTTCTCACACCACAAAAAATCAATAAAAATAGATAAATCAGATATAAATATATATGTAAAACACTAACTATATAATATATGAAACATACTATATATGTAGATATATATACATATATAATATGCATAATACATACGTGAATACTTTGCACACAGTTCTGCCTCACTTAAATGTGATTCATTCACAAGTCAAGACATCACCCTGATGATATCATTGGTCTTCTTCAAGAACCAAGGACAAACAACAACAACACTATCCTTTGTGTATATATATACTTTATAAACCCAAAGCATAATTGTTTTATATGTATACACAATATACATATAAATAGTATTATATTATTATATTATGTTATCATATATTATATTATTTATTATAATATATATATAATAATATATACATATATCTATAAAACAGTCATTGTGTATGTATATATGTGTATATGTATAAATATATATAGTATATAAAATATAATATATATAACAATGTAAAAAGCATATATAATGTATAATATATATGTAAACCGATACAAATGTATAGTTTTGTGTTTCTTTATACAGAGATAGTCTGTGCCTACTTTGAAATGCTGTTAGCCCTATTTCAAGGACTTTTCTAGCAGTAACTAAGCATAACTGCACACCTATTTGAGTTAAGAAGGTTTGTGCAGTATGGACTAAATGAATTCCCCTGAAATCAATCAAACAGGTTTTCTAACTTCTGAGTCAGTGTTTTTTCCTCAATACCACATTGCATTTTAGGGCTATTGGATGTACTGCTATTCTAGAGTTTTGTTTTATTTTGATTGCACGTGCCTATTTCATTGACTTGTTCTCTCATTTATGGATGAAGGTGTTTAGAAATAAATCTCTTCTCTTAAGAATGGCTGCATATATGCCCCAAGTTAAGGTGTGTTGTCTCATTGTTGTCATGTCCATTATACAAGACTGAGCATCCAAGTAAGATAGAAAAATTTAGTTAAAACTCTAAATGTTTTGCCTACATGCTCTTTGGAAACACTTGGATATTTGACTAAGTATTTTCCATTTTCATATGATGTTAATGATTGTGAAGAAATGGCCTAAGTCTATTTAATGACATCTTAGGTTGTGCTTGTTTTCTTTTTTTTCAGGTGAGGAGGAGAAAGGAGGGGATTAGTCACCTTCTGAACTCAGTTCCACAATCACTTCTCAAATGAACTTAATTAAATGAACTAAGATTTCAGTGGGAATGCCCAATGAGGCAACTCCCTCCACCAATGCAGGTTGGCACCTGCTTTGTACTCAATAAGAGGAGAGTCTTTGGTAACTGGGTGGGCCACTGAGTCATTTGGCCAATGTCTGCCAGACACAGGATTTGAACCCAGATCCTCCTACCTTCGAGGCTATGTACTGTGACACAATGCTTCTCTTGTTTCTTAGGCTAAAAACTTGGGGAATAGTATGAAAGTATAGAAATGTGAATAGTAATCTTATTGGTAAGAGTAGAAATCAAATAAGTAGTCAAAAATTCTAGTGAACCCAAGGGTTTTTTGGATTACTGTGATGTAAACATTTCCATATTATATTTTAATCTGGTGTCTGTAACACTCAGGAATTTTGCCAGGAGGCTGCTAGTTTGATACTTCTGCTCTAAGATACCATGGCTATGGGAACATTGGGCAAAAGTGCTAAGGCAATCAAACAATAATAATATTAAATAATAATTATTATTAGATAATTAGATGAAATTAGACAATAATCAGATCATTAAAATAAGTAGCATTTATATGATGTGTTAGGGTTTGCAAAGCACTTTACATATATAATTTGGAAGTGTTTAACAAAATAAATAAAAATACAATACAACATAGGTATCATTCCTTTGTGGTTTTCTAAATATGCCCTCTCAATCCCCCTGGTGATGCTTATATAGGGCTTAGTGGTCCCATTTCTGTTTGAATTTGACACCGCTGTCAGATGGAGGTAGACAGCATGACTACCACTGGTACATTCAGAAAGCCCAGGTTACAATTTCTGCAGATGGCCCCAAGTTTGGGTATAAAGCTAGAATGAGGGAGGACCAGGTGAGGTTTGTGGATATGACTAGTATAGATCATGACAATGACTGGACAGGATGGGGGAACCTTGAGGAAGTGTGGTGTAGTGGGCAGAAAACTGGACCATTTTATTCTTATGGTGATGCTGGGAGATAGGTATTCTCATCATTCCCATTTTGCAGATGAGGAAATTTTGGCAGACAGAGATTAAGTGATTTGCACAGTCACTGTGAGAATAAAATGAGATAACATAGGTGAGGCACTTTGCAAACTTCAAAGTTCAATTTAAATGTTAGTTATTATTTTTGTAAAGCCTTTTGTAAAACCTTAAAGAATGAAGTACAATTGAGCTCTGATTGTCATGACCACTCTTTGTTTGTATTATTTATGTGCTCTCCTGGTTGCCCTCCCTTTGGAAATGGCATCTGTGGCAGCTGAGTCCCTGAGGTTCTGTGGATATGCTTCTAGCTTATGCTGCCCCTTGCCCAAGTAGTTTGCTTCTATCCCTAGAGAGAGGGACTGTGATGAAAAGACATGGCCATGTCAGTGAATGCTTCGTCTTTAAGAACACTGCCTATCTGAACCACTCCAACACCCTGAAGGTGGGTCTGTGCCAGGATCTTGTGGATTCTGACGATGTCCTTAAGGAAACAGCAGTTCTCTAAAATATTAATTATAGGCAATAGTATCCAGTGGATGCATTTATGGGGACCAAAAAAACTAAACAGCATCATTCTTTTTTGGGGGGGGGGGTTAGGCAATGAGGTTAAGTGACTTGCCCAGGGTCACACAGCTAGTAAGTGTTATGTGTCTGAAGCTGAATTTGAATTCGGGTCCTCCTGAATCAAGGGCCAGGGATCTATCCACTGCACCACCTAGCTGCCCCTAAATGGCATCATTCTAGTAATAAAGTAAGCCTTTGCAGAAAGTAGATGAAATAGACACTAACTACAAGAGCTCTCTCATAGTACCCAAACTACTTACCGACATTATCCATTGTGACAGTTACAGATTCTCCACTCATAGGGAAGAGAGTCAGGACATCTTCATGCCTTTTTCCATATAAGAATGAGTGGCCAGTCAAGTGAAGAGTCAGGATCTCATTCTGGATGCCCACACTGCAAAAGTGCCACTGGACAGTGTCCTCATGACAAAATCCCAGGGTCGGTATACTCTCAGGCAAAAAGCCATTTATTGCTAAAAGAAACTGAGTCAGTTAAAACACCGGCCTTTCCACCAACCCTACACCATGGAAGGAACTTTGATCTAATTACACAGGCAAAATTACATTCTAGAGCTGATGTGCTTGCTCAAGTCAGCACCACTAACATAGAAGTATTGATTATTAAGCATTAGCCTCACTGGAGGGTGTGGGAGGTACAGGAAGGGAGAGGGAAGAGAGGAAGGATATGTGATTAGGATCCCCAGTTTTAAACTTTCCAAATAAATTGTATTCTTCTCATTGAACCGAGCTGAAGAAAATATTAGTCATTCAACAAAAAATTTAGAATCATAAAAATATATCATTTTAACATTTAGGGCAATATAGAAATCACTTTGTCCAACTCCTTTGTTTTCTGAGCACCTATTCTATTCAAGACCTTTTGATGGGTACTGCCTTTAAAGTCCTTCAAATATATTCTGAAGAACAGTGTGAAAAATACTAATTCCAGTCCAGAGGGGAAAAAGCATAATAATATAAGGGACATGAGAGATTAAATGATTATGTCACTCAACATAATAATGTAAAAATGTACAAAACGTACAATGTACAAATGTACAAAACAGAGAAGACAAATGAACACATTCCTTATTAAAGTCCTATCCTTTAATTGTCAACTGTAATCATTAAAGAAAGAGCAAGGTCCTTACCTTCATTAATATTATTTGTACTTATCAATAAATATGTTTGAATATTCATAGATCATTGCAATCTTTACCTATTAGGAGTAATAATAAAGGTGCAGATTGTATCCACACTAAACAATAATTATCTTCACTTACAAGAATGAATCTGATTAAAAAATGTGCTAATGGAACTTCTCTTTGGGAGACAACAGCTCCTGAAAGGACTTTGGTCATGACATTTACATAAGCAAAATAAAATTCAATGATAAAAGTAAACAAAAAGTCAATGTTTGACCCCTAACTCCAACCTTCCATCCCATATGGAAAAGCCCTGAGAATTCCAGATTGGTCTCTTTGGTTATCTGAAAAAGCATGAATAAATGATAGAAAAAAAATCAACCCAAATGAGGTTAGCAAGTACATGGTGACCACCCTAGACCCTGGTTAATCAATCCTCTAAGGATGATGAACACTTTACCTCTTGTCACATTAGACTGCTATAATAACACCCTTAGTTTTTGATCATAGAATTCTAGGACTGGAAGTAAATCTAAAAGTTCATCTCATGCATGTCTACAGACAAGATTACATACATATCTATCCAAGGAGTGACAGGTAGAATGGGGTGGAGGTGAAAGGAAGAGTTTCTACTTACTGTTCTTGATGTTGGATGCATAAAACTTTGGATCATCTCGTTTCACAGTAGAGGGGTTTTTGTGAAATCTATTAATGTTGTCTTCAAAGTACCAGCTTTTGTTCTCATCAAATACAGCAAACACAGCTTGTTGCTCAGAATCTGCTGTCCTCTATAGGAAAAAATTGCATTATTCACAAAATGTTCTTTTTTTCCCCCATTCTTTACCTTCCAAATAGTTCCCTGATGCACATCAGAGTTTTCAGGAAAGAGCAAACATAGCACAACTCTTTAGGGGAGCAGAACTCTCGAATTCATTCTTACTTCAGTATTTTTAATCAAATAACAATTATTTATTAGAGACTTAGGATTCCAGGGCTTTAAAAAACTATTAAAATCAACCTCAATTTACTATGATTTAAATATCCCCTTTGGCTCAGCTCAGGAGAGCTTCTTGTTAGAGGCTTGATTTATTGCTTTATTGATTGTCGAGACTAAGAAAGTGATGGATAAAATGTTAATAGTGCAGAGTAAACTTAAAAGTGTGTCCTGTTTTCAAGAAGAGTTGATTTTTAAACATTTACCAGCACATTCGTAGTAAAAACATTTACTATACAGCCTTCATTTTCAAAAGATTAGAATGGAGTACATTCTACCAAAACTGGCCACTAGATGGTGCAGTGGATAGAGCACAGCACCAGGTCAGAAAAACCTAAGTTCAGAGCCAGCTTCAGACACTTATTAGCTGTGTGACCCTGGGCAAGTCACTTCACCCTATTTGCCTCAGTTTCCTCACTTGTAAATGGGGTCATGGAGAATCAGACACAACTGAAACGACTGAACAATTACTAAGACAAGCCTCATTTCACCACTGCCACTTCTTGGAACTTTGAAATACTTATGTCACTGGACTATTCTATTTGGGTAGAGAATTAAAGGCTGACTATGTGTGCCCCCAAGAGGATTCAGTTCTGCTCCAGATTCTGAGTTGCCAAACACTGCTGGAGAACAAATCGCAAAATCATGCTAACTGGGTCAATTTTAGAGGAAACCAAAGGGTAGTATAGTGGAAAGAGCAATGAACTCAAGAAGACTTGAGTTTGGATTCCAACTCTGTTAATGACTTTTTGATCTACCTGTGTGACCTTAGACAAAACATTTAACCTCATTAGCCTCAATTTCTTTATCTAAAAATTTTAGTATTGACTTAGACAATCTCTTCATTCCCTTCTGTCCCTGCCTTTCATATCACATTTCCACTTGGATGTACCACAAGTTTCTCAAGCACAACATATCCAAAATGGAACTCATTATATTTTCCCCAAACCAACCCTTCTTCCTATCTATGTTGAAAGCGCCACCATCCTTCTAGTCACCTTGGTTCAAAACTTTGGAGTCATCATCAACACCTTACACTCTCTCACCCTCCATATCCAGTGGAGTCACCATTGACTCCTCACACTCCCTCACCCTCCATGTTCAATTAAAGGCCAAATCTTGTCAGTTCTTCCTCTCCAGGACCTTTTTGCCTGTGTCCTTTTCTCCCTACTCACATAGTTGTTTTCATCTTTGATAATGACTATTTCTACAGCTTCCCAATTGGTCTCCCCGCCTCAGTTCTTCTCTCTTCCCCGGTTAATCTTCCACAAAGCTATCAAAGTAATATTCCTAAAGTGCATGTCTGATCATACCATTTTAAAGCTCCAATGGCTCTCTATTTGCCTCCAGGATAAAATTAAATGCCTTTGTTTGGCGTTCAGAACCCTTCACAATCTGGTTCCAGCCTACCTCTCCAGACTTATTTATACCATACTCTTTCCTCACTCATGCCACAATTCAGCCAAACCAGTCCACTAGTGATCCCTCACACATGACATTCCAACTCTGTGCTTTTGCACAGGCTGTCCCTCCCAAACCTGGAATAAACTCCTTCCTCATTCCTGTCTCTTAGAATTTCTTCTATCTTCCTTCAAAGGTCAGTTCAAGAACCACCTTCTACATGAGACTTTTACCAATCCCCTCAGCTGCTAGGGCCACCCCATAATCTTTTTAAAATTTTGTGCATATTTTTAGGCATACACATACTATCTTCCCTGATAGAATGTAAGCTCCCTGAAGGCAGGAACTGTTTCATTTTTGTATTTTTACTCCCAGCATCTCGCGCAGGCACGGGCATCCCTCTAGCTTGGCTACACAGACATCCATTCATTTATCTCTTACTGGCTCTCAATCTCCATAGCTGCTGTTTTAAACCTTCTCCTCTCCAATCCCACCATAACGCCCCCTTCCTTATCTAAGCAGATTGATCTTACCTACTACTCCACTTCAGAAATTGAACCTATCTGATTGAGTTCCCTCAGGATGCCTCCTCTAATCCTCTGGTTCTTTCAAAGTCTTCATTCATTCTCTCCTACTACCCTACCCCACTCAATGGAACTAGTCATAGAAAGTTGTTTTGAAGAAATAGGTACCTCTCACCTGTGGGAAGACCACAGGTGTTGCACATTGCACAAGTTTTTGGGTTTTTTCAGTGTATTGATTGATCTGTTGTGCTGATTTTTTCCCTGGTTCTTTTTGTTTAAATAATACTATTTGTTATATGGGCTGACTCTCTGGGAGTGGAAAAGACACTGAAGAAAACTATGGTGATATAAACAACAAAAGACATCGATAAACACTTAAAAACAAAGTTGGTTTGAGGCTGGGTTGTGTGCTGCTTGCCCACAGGTGCAAGTTGTGGTGCTAGTTCCAGGCTCCAAAATGGGTAATTGCATACAGGTTTGGATATTCACCCACTTCAGTGTGAGTGTGAAAAGGAGAAGCAGTGGCTGAGAGAAGGCAGAACTACTCAACAGTTATTTCGTTTGTCTTTTCTCTGCCAAGGAGAAGACTCTTTGGATGAGAAAGGTAAGAACCAAAATGGCTAATAGGGCAATGATCCCTAGGAGAAGGAAGTAGCCTATTGCACTGGTAACAAGGGAGAAAATACTAGCAATTTTACCTAGCCAAAGGTGGAATGTGCTTCCTTGGGAGGGAGTAGGTTTCTTCCACATTGGAAGGCTTCAAGCAAAGGCTGGATGACCAACTTTGGGTATATCATAAAGAAGTTTTGGGTTGGACTAGATCAGGGGTGGGGAACCTGCAGCCTTGAGGTCACATGTGGCCCTCTAGATCTTCAAGTGTGGCCCTTTGACTAAATCCAAAATTCACAGAACAAATCACTTTAATAAAAAAGATTTGTTCTGTAAAATTTGGACTCAGTCAAAAGGCTGCATCCAAGTGACTCAAGAAAGTAATGGAGAAAATGTCAAAGTGGACTAAACTTGAAAATCCACCCTGCTTTTTGGAGGTCTCATTGTTAAATGTTAGCCAGCACACCCTGGCTTTAATCATGCATTTCCAACTGACTTCTAGACAGTTCTGCCTATATATTTCAACAGCAACTTAAATTCAACACAATTAACACTAAAGTAATCCTTTTTCTCCCAAACCCGTTCACCTGACTTAATGTGTTTAGATGGGACTACCATCCTCCCAGTTCCCCTGGGCTCATTATCTTGTAATAATATGTGACTCTTACCTGACCCTCACCACACAATCGGCTACCATGTTCTACCCCCTCGGTATCTTTTCAAATCCAGCCTCTCCCACTGCAGGCCCTCATCCCTTTTTACTTCTCGACTATTGTAATAACCTCTTCTCAGGCCTTCCTAGCTCCCATCTGTCCATTCTGCACACCTTTACTTGAGTAATCCTTCTACCATGATGCCATGTCTATTTCACTCTATATCTTAAATAGTTCCTCTTTGCTTACTGAATGAAGTATGTGGTTTTTGGCATTCAAGGCAATCCATAGTCTGGTTCTAATAGATATGTCCAGCCTACCTTGTGCTACTCTCTTTTGTATATTCTATGTTCCTTGTTCTTTTCTTCTTTCCAGTTTCTATGCTTTTTACCTCATCTTCTGTGCCTAGAATGTACTCTAGAGTGAAAAATGAATATTTATTAAGTGCCTACTGTATGCCAGGAGCTATGCTAAGCACTTTATTAATATTATATCATTTGAGCCTCAGAACAACGCTATGAGGTAAGTACTATTATTATTCCCATTTTATAGGTGAGGCAGACAGACTAATTGACTTGCCTGTAAATGTCGAAGGTTGGTTTTGAACTTGTGTCTTCAGGCCCAGAGCTTTATCCTCTGTACCACCCTATAGTCTTATTTCCACCTTTTTAAGTCTCTTTCTTCCTTTAAAGTCCTATTCAGATACCACCCTCTCCATGAAGCCCTGCCAGATACAAGTGATGCTCATCTTTCAAATGTCTCATAGCGCTTTACCAGGACCATTTAATTTTACTCAGTGACTTTTATTTGTGTCACAGTTATTTGTGCATTTATCCTTTCTTCTCCGAACCTGTTATATTGTGAGATCATTGAGAGCAGGGCCTTGTGTCAGGTATGTTTTTACATCTCCAGAATCTAGCATGGTACCTTATGCATAACAGGTGCAAATGTTAACAAATGTTAGCTGTACTACTTAAGTAAAATATTGAAAATATGGAGTAGAAACAATCCTCTTCATACCTCGTTGTTTCCTTATCTTGAAAAAATGGGACCTTTCTAACTATAGATTCCATTTCTTATTACGTTACACTTTCCTTTAATTCAGCAGATCTCAAATTGTTGTCTGGGAAACCCTGATAATGCCTGAGACCCTTTTAGGAGGTCTCTGAGGTCACAACTCTTTTCATAATAATACTAAGAAGTTTTAATTTCTAATACAGTAAATAATCAATAGAGATAATCCCCCCAAACAAAAGCTATTGGGGATCTCAATAATTATTGAGCATGAAGTGAAACCAGAAAGTTTAAGAACCACTGCTTTATTTGGCATCTCCTGAGATGAAATATTTAGATTATGCCCTAAATAGTCTTGGGAATTCTGGATGATTGTGATATAAAGGATTTGTAATTTCTTCTAGCTTTTGCTAAAGCCTAAGTCTTTGCCATCTGCCCTGTAGCTGATCCTTCTTATGTATGTTGTCTGTCCTAATTAGACTATGAGGTCCTTGACAGCAGGGTCTGTCTCTATTTTCCATTTGTTTCTTCAGTATTCAGCATAGTTGTTGGCACACAATAAGCACTTAATGGTATCCCATTCATTTAGGAGCAATTTGAGTTTGCCAAACCTGAGACTTAGCAAAATAAGGTACCTTCAGGAAAAAAACATCACAATGAGAAACGGGGCAAGTGCTTCGATGAAATTCAGTTCCAGTAGAAATTACTATTTTGAATAACCTAAGAAGATATGTTCAACTTGTCTACAAAATATTTCTGTCGATACCATCATTGCCCCAGCTCCCTTACCCCACTATCCAGAATAAAACCCAAGAGCATACCCCAGAACCTGGATTTGGAGACAGATGTCAGACAAGAATAGCCAAACAGAAAGTTTATATACCAAGAAGGAACACTGGAGACCAAACTTTCAGTACAGAATGCAAACCTTGTATGTAAGGGTAACTAATGACAGGATACAGTACCTGTACACCTCGGTTGTCCAAGGTTCTGCTCTTACAAATCAAGAGTAGCCCAATCAGGCCTGAGGCAATGTCCCTTGGGATGTCCACAATACTATAATATGGTCTCGTTAAGCATTGAGCATCATTTCCTGCGGGTTCATCAGACTCCAGGATGTTCCACTTGTAAGTGTAAGTTTCTCCTGGTTGGACAGCTTTGACTAGGGTGTTGTTGCCTAAAGGGAAGTTTATTTATAATGAATTTTCATTTGGAAAGTAATCTCAGAGCCAGAATTCTGGTCAGAGTCAAGCTACAAGAAGAAATAAATGAAGGATAACACAAGATTTAGCAGCTTCTACATTAAGGGATCAGAGGGCATGAAGTATGATAATCCAGAGGGCAAAGGAGTTAGGACTACAACCTAGAATCACCTACCCAGCAAAACTGAGCATCATCCTTCAGGGTAAAAGATGGTCATTGAATGAAATAGGGACCTTTCAAACATTCCTGTGGAAAAGACCAGAGCTGAATAGAAAATTTGATCTTCAAATACAAGACTCAAGTGAAACATGGAAGAGGTAAACAGGAAAGAGAAATCACAAGAGACTTATTAAGGTTGAACTGTTTACATTCCTGCATGGAAAGATGATATTTGTAACTCATGAGTCCTTTGTCAGTATTAAGGTAGTGGGAGGGAAAAAATTATATGTATGTATAGATAGAGGGCACAGGGTGAGTTGAAGATGAAGGGGTGATATCTGGAAAATAAAATTAAGGGGTGAGAGAGGATTATACTGGGAGAAAGAGAGATGGAGAAGTAGAATAAGGTAAAATATCTCACTTGAAACAGACAAGAAAGTGGAGGGGAAATGGGGGAAGGTGAGAGGGAATGAGTGAATCTTATTCTCATGTGATTTGACTTAAGGAGGGAATAACATACACAATGGGGTATGGAGATCTATCTTGCCCTACAGGAAAATAAGGGGGGAAGGGGACAAGAGAGCAGGAGCTTGATAGAGGGGAGGGAAGATTGGGGGAGGGAATAATCAAAAGCAAACACTTCTGAAGAGGGACAGGGTCAAAAGAGAGAATAGAATAAATGGGGAGTAGGATAGGACGAAGGGAAATATACTTAGTTTTTCACAACTGGACTACTATGGAAGTGTTTTGCATGACTACACATCTATAACCTGTACCAAGATACTTGCCTTTTCAATGAGGGTGGATGGGGAGGGAAGAAGGGAGAAAATTCGTAACCCAAAGTTTTAAAAACACGTTAAAAATTAAAAAAAATTAAAAATTTAAAAAAAAAGAAGAAACGAAAGTGTTCTGATACCATGAGACCTTGAACAACATCACCTCTTTTCCAAATAGGAAGACAAAGTCTGTGTTAAATGTTTAGTGCAGAATATGGTACTTAGGATACAGTATCCCTGAGGCCTCAGTTTCCCCAATTGTCAGACAATCAAAAATAAGCGATAGGAATTTTCAGGCCCAGAAGACCTGTTCTGGCAAGGAGAAAAACTTGTTAGCCAGAATAATCTACTTATCTGATCTATCTATGTATCTATCTATCACATGTCCAGGGTATAGTTTGTGACCTTGTAATAAAAAAATTATATATATGAATATATACATGTATACATATATGTGTATGTATATATACATACATGTATGTATGCATATGTGTGTGCCTATATGTACACACATATATATATACACATACAAGTCTATGTGTGTGTAACATATCGACCTAAGTAAATTATATGCGTTATTTTAGTTTACCTTAATAAAGAAATATGCAGGCAAGTGCTACAAGAATTATTAATCTCATTCTGAAGATGGATTGCCATCTGGGAAATGTGCAAATACAGGCAGCTAGAGAGAGAAGATAGACTCTTGGATCTGGAGTCAGGAAGATCTGAATCCAAATCTGTTCTTAGACATTTAAGTAGCTGTGTGACCCCAGGCAAGTCATTTAAGCTATATGCCTCATTTTCCTCAATTTCAGGGTTGTTGTGATGTTAAAATGAAACAATATTTGTAAAGGGTTTTGGAAGCCTTCAAGTGTTATATACATGCTAGCCATTATTATTATTATATGCCAATAGAATATAAGTTTTCCTCAATGTTGGGTATTCCTAGTGTAGGAATTCCTGCTACTCCTCTAGCCCATCACATCTGGCTAGCATGTAAATCCTACCCTGAGACATTACAAAAGTTAATTGACCTGCTCACAGCTATTTCAGAGAAAGAATTGAAGCCAAGTCTTTCTAACTTCAAGCCTCAATAGTCATCCCTCCACTATGCTTCACTCTCTCCAAAAGAATTCAAACTAAAAATAATACAAGAAGGTATGTGGAGTTTGTGATATGAAACATGGAAGGCTCACCTTCACTGATACAACTTCAGGACTGCCAAAGCATTTTACAGAAGACATTTTGATGTCATAGAGATTAAATAACTTGTCCGTGATACATAGCTAATAAATGGACAAGTTGGGGCTCAAATTAATTGCTTCTTTTGTTCTTTCCAGTCGTACCCGCCACACTTATCTGTAACACTGCATTGTTATCTGAGCCCTGGGAAAGCACGGGGAGGAATCATTCTCATGTTGTCTGGGACAAAAGGGATTTTGAGTCCCTTTTGAGTAGCATCAACATGCAGTTGTTTTATGTGTTCGTCCACTAGGGGTTGCTATGGCAGCAAGAAAGGGACACGCTCCTGTATGATGATTTATCTGACCCTTCTAGGTGTTGGAAAATCATAGGACCAATGGATTTAGGGCTGGAAGGGACCTTAGGTGTCATCTAATCCTATCTCCCGCATTGTGAAGATGAGGAAACTGAAGCCTGGAGAGGCTGACTTGCTCAAGGTCATACAGATATTAAGTAATTGAGCTGAGATTGGAACTCCAGCTCTTTTAATGATAAATCCAGCACTTTCCTCACCATACCACACTGGAGCGTGGCTCCAATCTCCACTACTATGTGAATATACTGACTATATTATTTATACACGAATGAAAGTCAGTAGAAAAATCAACCTTGTTGATGTATTGAAAGAGAGCAAAGGGCTTCACCTAACACATGTGAATAGAGATACAAACCTGAAGTAGAAATATTCTTAGCTGTTTCTTCATCTGTAGAAAGTGTTATTCCATGAGGATAAATGCTATAGGGACGGCTGGCCATGTTTTTGAATACAATCTGCCAAGGAGGGAAAAAAACACAAAAATCATGATTTCAGTAATTAAATCCACTAGATATATATGCTATTCAATCAAAATGGTTTACTAAATTTTATGGTTGTCTTTGGATTGGTGGGGAGGAAGTAATACCTATGGGCTAAGTGCTAGTTTCTCACTGTTCCCAGAGTTGCCCCTAGCAGGGGTGTCTGAGAATCTATAACTTTTCCTTCTGAACAAAAAGGAAAACTCTCCTAAACTGCTCTGATTTCTGTTAACTAATGGCGAGTTCATCTTGGGGTACGCTGGCATTTTTGACAACTGTCTCTCTTGGGGGAAAAATGTACACATGACACACTTTAAATCTAATCTGCATTATTAAGATTTTCCCCATCACTTTCTTAAGTCTAGACAATAAAAAACAATAAACCAAGCCCCTTGATTTCTAACATTTGCTGATTTCCAAGGTTTAAATGGTCACCCTGAAAATTTGACAGTTGGCTCCCATGAGCCTGCATGAACTTATTCCAGCATACTTCCCTCTAAGCCCCAAGACCTTCTCCTATCCCCTCAACCCTCCACTATTGCATTCCCACTCAGCAGTAAAGAAAAGGAGAAGAAAGTCTGAGACCAGAGGTTAAGGGAAAAGATAGGACCTTAGGCCCATCTCCCATCTATAATCCCCACTTCTCTCACCCTCTCCTTTCCTATCTGGCACCTTCTCCTTTAGTCCCTGGCTCCTCTTCTCTTGCCTATAGAACAGAGGTTCTTAACCTTAAACTTTTTTTTTAATGTTTTGATAGCTATTTCAATATAACTAGCTTCCTTTGTCATCCTATGGATTTAATTTTGTGCATCTAAAAACACTATTCAGAGAAGGGTTCTGTAGATTTCACCAAGCTGCCCAAGGGGTCAATGACACAAAGTGGTTAAGGACCTCTGCTCTATAGTCTCCTGGGTCTTCTATCCCCAGGGTTATTTGGGAAATACATTCTCTCCTATATGTCCGGAAGCCCTTTCATATGTAAGACATGGACAAAGAGGTACTTGATTCTCCCTAATAGTTATGTTTATATTTTTAAGAGAGTAGAGAAGAGAAAGAAGGAAATAACAGGTGCCTTTTCTTTGCTTTTGGCTATTTACAAAACAAATAATGTATCTGAAGATAATTTCACATCCAATTTAAAAAAACAAACAACCAAACAACAACAAAAAAGTGCCAGATACTCTGAGGCCTTCCCAACACTACTCAACTATTCTCCGTCTGTGTCCCACCATTGCTTACTTACTTTGAGGGTATCTCTGACTTGGGCTCTAATGATAGGTCCCAAGATACCAGTTTCTTGGGGATCTGTACTTTCTATGCGTTTGGTGAAAGATTCATCTTGGTATTGTTTGTAGACCACCTTTTTGTAACGTGTCCCAATCTGGTTTGCCAAATTATTGTACCAAAATTTATATTTTCTGAAAGAAAAAGAGAATCATAAACAAAATGAAGGCTAGTTCTTCCTTTCATTGAAATCCTCGTTCGTTATTAGTGGTGGTGGTGGCAGGGGTTCCAGGGAAAAGTGAAAGAGAACACAGGAATAATCTTATACTTACTGTATGATGGGGATTCTCATGGTGGTGGTGGTGGTGGTGGGGGGGGTTTTCTGGCCTTCTAGTGGGGTTGCCATGGATGGAACAAGTGAACTGCAGTGTATTTCACCATTACTTACTGCAGGATATTTAATGGAACAAAGGGTTTGGTATATTTTGGATTAAACTGAACTAAGTAAAACACAAGGCAGCTGGTGGTGCAGTGGATAGAGAGGCCCAGACCTGGAGTCAGGAGGACCTGAGGGTATATTTGAAGACCTCAACTTATCGCAGTGATGACAGGAGGGGATAAAGAACCAACATTAAACACCATATGTACCTCAACTCACTATACCTTGCAGTTATTTTCTATGCTTAATCTCACCAGATTCTCTTCCTCATGGGAGAGAAGGGAAGAGAATAAGTATGTATATATATATATAATATATATGTATGTATATGTGTATATATGTATCTGTATGTATACATAGGTATATAGGTATCTATACATATATGTATATATGGGTATATATGTACCTATATGTATATATGCATGTGTATATGCATATGTAGTGTGTATATGTATATATGTATGTGTATACATATATAGTGTGTGTATATGTGTGTATGTGTGTGTGCATGTGTGAGTATATGTATATGTATGTATGTATGTATGTAAATATGGCACCTACCATGTGCCCAAAACTGTACTAAGGGCTTTTTACAAATGTTATCTCATTGATCCTCATAACAACTCTGTGAGGTAGGTGCTATCATTATCCTCATTTTGTGGTTGATGAAATTGAGGCAGAGGTAAGTGACTTGTCCAGAGGTACACAGTTAGAAAGTATCTAAGTGCAGATTTGAACTCAAGTCTTTCTAACTCTAGGTCCAGTGCTCTATCTACTCTGCCAACTAGCTGTTTACTAGGCAAATCATGGTTGGCTGCTGAGTAGCACCTTCTGTATCTGCAGGGATGACAGAAGGAGCCACAGATGACTTTCATTCCGCTCCATACCTGCTTATTCCTCTAACTTCTCTAAAATAGGACCTTTGTAGTGGCAGAGTCCACTCCGGATTCCATTGTAATAATCTGCTCAAGGCAATGATGAACACAGTGAGTTTAGGGAAGTGGTGAGCAAAGAGTTGTTTAGATTGGGAGAGCTGAATAGAAGCCTACTACTCTACCTCCTGGGAGTCACATACCCGTGTAATTTCATACTGATGGACTTTTGTAATTGAAACAAGCATTCGAGTAGTAGTATAGTAGTAATATAGTATATGGTATAGTATGTAGTAGTAGTAGTATAGTATATAGCGGTGGTGGTGGTGGTAGTAGTAGTAGTAGTAGTAGTAATAGTAATAGTAATATGCCCACTTACTTGTCCGTATTCTCCTTGTTTACTGGGGCATAGTCCCAAATGACTTCCTCTGCAGCAATGAAATACTCCCACTTCTTAATGTAACGCCTCTGATCTCGGGTTAATTTCTTTATCATTCTGGTCCCTTTTGGGCATTTTTCAATTTTGAGGTATGCCTTCATCCCAGCTGATTTAGGATATGCAGAGGGTAATGAGGAAATTAGGGAGGAGACAATTAGCTCCACTGAAATACTAAGCATTTAAAAGTATATGGGAAAAATGTATTAGTTATACAGTCAGCGGTCCTAACAGAATAGTCTGAAACTGTTAAGAGCGTTATTCTGGAATGATATGGAGTAGGGGAATAGAAGATAGGAAGAAAAAAAGGAAGGGAGATGGGCAAAAATACTTAGTAAAAAACCATGTGTCTGTCCTAGACAGGAGGATTTGACATAATTTCTGTTCCATTAACATCCCATGGTGTGGGTTTGGGAAGGACATTGATAATAAACACATCTAGAGGGCATCCAGAACGGATTAAGTTCAAGTTTATGTCATTTGATAAGGGGTTGAAGGACCCAGGGATGTTTACCCTTGTGAATAGATGGCCTGAGGGAAGAAGGATGTAATAGCTGTCTTTAGGTACTTAAAATGCTGCCTTGGAAGAGGGATTAAATTAGTTCCTCTTGTCTCCAGAGGGCAGAACTGGGAGAAATGCTTGAAAGGGGCAGAGAACCAGATTTGGGTTTAGAGTTAAAGTATAGTGGGCTATCTCTGGGTTGCCCCTTACTGGAAGTCTTTAATCAAAGCTTGGGTGCCCAATTGTTAGGTATGTTATCAATTGAGATTATTTTTGCTGAAGCTCCATACTTCTGACCACACCTTAAACACTCCAGGATATACATCTTTACCTCTGAGTATATTCATTACACTCTTTCACTTTCTCTTTTCTACTCCTTCCCAAGATAGAGACTTCCTCTGTTTTCTTAAGGTTTTCAGTATACCACTTCCTTCCCCCAAAATTCTACTGACTAGATGTGAGTTAGAGCTCTAAGAACCCAGCAAAAAGATTCTTCTCTCCCAGGCTCTACCAGGTAGGGGCAGGGAAGAGAGAAGAGCCCCCAGAAATGACTGGCTTGTAATAGGATCCATTTCCTTCATTCCAAAGATCATTTGTGGAACTTCTGAAATACAGGTGACCTTCACTGTACTTAAGCGCATCAGGAAAAGACTGACTAGACAGTCTCCAAAGGTGGATTAGGTTTCCTGAATGCGTTCACTTGTTATTGACATAGGGAAATACAAACAGCCCCTTGAGGAATGGAAACAGCCCATGATCCTAGGTATAACTGTCAATCCCATGGTCCCATGCAAAGCTGCCCACAAAAATAAGGCCCTTCCCTATTAATGGGCATGGCAGGGGCAGTGATCTTGAAGAAAAGGGCATCTCTTTGTATTTTTAATTTAAACATGTCACTGGTCCCACAGTATACCCTTTCAGGTGACAGAGAAACTCCATGTTGTGAGAAGGGTCTCCTTGCCTTGAAAATGTTTTGGGATGAGAGAGGATATCTTCCACCTTCCCTCATGGCTCACAGTCATATTTGCAGTGGTTGACGTTGCTCCAACGAGGGGGATGGCCGAGACTTTACGAGAGTTATGTTCCAAGACCTGCCCGTTGTAATGAATAGAGAATAGTTCGGGGCCAGAACTCATTGCAATTAGATGCCAACTAATCTGGTCGTAGGCACAGACTGTTACATCTGAAAGAGAAGGAATAGCCAAGGTCAGAACAGTCAGTGAGTTCAATGTCCCATGCCCCCAAAGCCAAAGATTACTAAAGAGCCAGACCAGGAAGGGGCCTGGACTCAGCTCAGCTCCAGGACAAGCTGTTACATTCATGGAACCTTTAAGGGAAGGAGGTCCCAGGGGTTTATGCTCCTCTGCCACTGTGCTGAGGTTAAACCCTGCCCAAACTTCGAAAGGACCTTTGTGGATTTGGGATTTACTCTTAATTGTTTTAATGACAGAAGCAATTGCTGACTCACTCCATCAAAGAGTGTGGCCAAATTCCCATAATGCTCATCTGAGTGCCTAGGAGCATGGGAAAAGGGCAGGAGCAGAGCGGACAAATTCGTGTGTGAATGTATTGGTGTGTGTCAATCAAAAGTCAGTAAACAAGCATTTATTAAGCGCTTCCTGTGTGCCAGATACTATGTTAAGTGTTGGTTTAAAGAAAGACAAAAATATTCTCTGCTCTCAAGTTACTCATTGTCTACTAACAACATGCAGCTATATATGTACGAGCAACGGTTATGATGTAAAACAATACCTTTGTAATATAAAATATTACCTTTCCTAGTGATTGGTTTAAGAATCCCACACAGGTTAAATTGACTTCAGGTACAAGTAAGACACCCAGTAAGAGACTCGGCTCACCCGTTACCTGGCAGTGTTCCGTTTACATAGCCGTTGACCGTATACATCAGAAAAGGCGACTGCTGCCAGCTTTTGCTTTCATCAAACACTGCAAACATCAGCACGTGTTGCTGGTCAAACATCTTTTGAGTCCCATCCTCAGTCAGGCTGCCTATGAGAAGAAAGCAAACGCTTTTTAAGAACTTCATCAGGAGGAAAAGATAAAATAAAATAAAGTGATTATTCTAAGACAGCTCCTATTATCTGTTCCTAGATAGGAAAGATGCCAGAAAAGCAAGGCTTCCATTCAGTAGCATTCTCCAAAATGTTAACATGGTGAACTATTTATTTAAAAAGCATCCTCTTCATCAATTAACTGATGGTGCTTTGGGGTTGGGAGATGAGGAACCCGATAGTTTCAGAGGAAATGAAAGTTGGTATCCCATACATGGCAACAGAAAGAGGCATGGTGAGTGTGAGCAGGCAGCAACAGATGTCACTTATCATGGATAGGATCATAGAACTAGGACTGGAAGGGACCTTAGAAAGCTAGTATCTAGTTCAACATACAGATGAGGAAACTGAAGATAGGGAGGTTGAGAGACTTGCCTAAGGTCATGTAGATAAACCCCAGAGGTATGATTTGAACCAAGGTCAAGAACAGAGGCAGCTAGGTGGATATGCGTAACATATGTATATGTACATACACGTGTATATGCATATGCGTATGTACACATGTGTGCGCATATGTATATACATGTCTGTGCCCCTAGAATGAACACCCTCCTCATGCTCACCTCTTAGAATCATCTCTTTCAAAGGCTCAAGTCAGGAGCCACATTCTCCTGGAAGCCTTTCTAGGATTTCCTATTTGTTAGCATTTTCTCACCTCTCAAATTATCTTGTAGTCACTTATCTAGGATTGTTGTATGCCCGCAGTAGAATGTAAACTTCCTGAAGGCAGGGACAGTTTCTGGTCCTGTCTTTGTATCCCCAGCCCCTAGCATAGACCTTAATAAATGCATGTTAAACGAATGAAAGTTGAGTTGAGAGCCAGTGTATTATAACATAAGAGAAGTCCAAGGAATGCATAGAATTTGGCTAAGTTACAGTGCCATTGGAGTATTATAAATCTCTTTCATAGAAAAACTTTAGGAACGTATGGAAAGTGGGAACCATGCCCAAGTCAGTAGGACCTTCTGGCCTTTGAACTCTGCTGGCATATGAGTCAAGACTTCAGCATCACCTCCATGCTGTGAGAAGGTTCCTGATAAGGGCTCTAGGTGAGAAGCCTGTTGTTGTTTGTCCTTCATTCTCAGAGGGACCATGACATCAGGAATATGATGCCATGACTTTAAAGTGAATTGGATTTAAGTGAGGGAGGGCTGTGCAAAGTCACCTGCCTCATTTTCTCCTCCACAGTCATCTGGGTCCAGTGGCAAGATATAGATCAGGATGACTGGAGATGGCCCTGAATGCAGTGGGAAACCTTGGCCTTTTTAAACTAAGGTCTTTAACAGGTCTCATTTTGACCTGTGACAAACTTATGTAAATATTAAGTCACTGGTATTCTCTGCAAAGCAAAATTCAGATAGTGCCTCAGTCAGATGTGGAAACTGCATGTCTGCATGTCAACAGATTCAGCTTCTCTGGAAGGAAGAATGCATAAGTTTCTTTTCCTTGCAAAGAAAATTACTACAAGCCCTTCAAATGGACCAGGGAGGAGACTTCTTTCAAGCAGTCTTCAAAGGGAGACTGATTCTATCACATAGTGACAGACTTTAGAGGAAGATTATAATTTGAGAACATTTTTAATGGGTTCCATGTGTCATCAAAATATAGACAGGAAATGAACATTTACTAAGCACCTACTATGTGCCAGGCACTGTGCTAAGCACTTTACAAATGTTATTTTATTTGATCCTTACAACAACCCTGAGAGGTAGGTTCTATTATCGTCCCCATATTACTGATGAGGAAACTGAGGCAAACAGAAGTTAAGCAGCTTGCCCAAGGTTACAGAGTTGTCTGCAGTGTCTGTGTTTGGATTTGAACACAGATCCTCCTGATTCTAGGTCCAGCACTCTATCCACTGTATCAGTTAGATGCCTCAACACACTCTTATCCTTTGGGTGGCTTTTTTTTGGGAGGGGTCTTTGTTTTTAGGGATTCAGGAGAAGTAAAAGGAGAAGGAATAGGAGGTTCAGAGGGGGACCCCAAATACCCAAGTCTCAGATATCCCCTCCTCATGCCTAGCAATGGTACAGTTCTCAACTCTTTATGGTCACTACATAAAGGGAATACTGAGATGATAGGAAAGCTGCCGCCACTCAACTTTATGTTCCCCCTGCTTTCATTTATGCTTCCCTTACCTTTCTTACAGATGAGCAAAGGTCCAATAAGGCCAGAGTTGAAATCCAGTACTAAGTTATCATAGGAGTAATAGATGTGTGTCAGACAAGGAGGGTCATCATCTGTGGGCCCATTGTCTTCAGTGATCAGCCATGTGTAGGTATATTCCTGCCCCGGAAGCACAGTATCATCCATCTTCTCCAGAGGGGATGTTTGGTCTGCATAGGAGGCACCTGGAGATACAGATAAATTGATTACATCTTTCTTAGATGGGCTTCATTACTTGGAAGGAGTGGAAAGAAGACTTGGCATCTAGTTTTAGCTCTACCCCTTACTAGTAATCATAGGCAAGTCTAACATTCTTGTGTCTCTGAGCCTCAGTTTCCTCATTTATGAAGTTGAGATAAAAATAGAGTATGAAAACTGGAAGAACCCTTTAGAGGTCACCTTTATAGCACTTGCAAAGACTTTCACACAATTCAATTAAGTGAACACTTAATATGTGTATATCTGAGTAAGGCACTATGCTAGGAACTGGAAAGGCCACATTCCCTGACCTAAAGGGGCTTACAATCTAATATGGAGCCTGGTCTTCTGATTGGTGAGGCCATGACTGGGATTGTAAGCTCATGAGTTACGCTCACCTCCCTCCCAGTTCAACTTAACCCCCAGATTGCTCCATCTCTTCACCAGCAACTTTACCCACCTGGAGATACCTCTTCTCTTTGGTTAGTTCCTGGCTGAGATCTCTATCTCATGAGGGTACCTTTCTCTTCTTGTTTACCACCCCCCTTTCCAACTCCCCTTTATATATCATCTTCCTCTATTAGAATGCAAATTCCTTGAGGGTAAGGGCCATCTTACATTAATGTTTTTGAGTTGTCATCACTGGGCTCAATACCTTGCATGCAGTATGGGCTTAATAAATGTTCTATGCACTATGGATAAGAAAGGAGTTTATGACCAAACAAGAGATAGAGAGGATCACAGGAAGTAAAATGGATAATTTTCGTTACATGAAATTGAAAAACTTTTGCATGAACAAAACGAATGCAGCCAAAATTAGAAGAAAAACAGAAAATTGAGAAAAAAAATACAGCAAGTTTCTCTGATAAAGGTCTAATTTCTCAAATATATAGGGAACTGAGCCAAATTTATAACATATATGAGCCATTCCCCAATTGATAAATGATCAAAGGATATGAAGGCAATTTTCAGAAGAAGAAATCAAAGCTATCAGTAGTTACATGAAATATGTTCTAAATCATTAGTAATTAGAGAAATGCAAATTAAAACCACTCTGAGATACCACCTCATACCTATCAGATTGCTTAATGTGATAGAAAAGGAAAATAACAAATGTTGGAGGGGATATGGAAAAATTGGGATGCTAAAAAATTGGAACACTGTGTGCTCTTGGTAGAACTGTACTGGTCCAGCCATTCTAGAGAACGGTATAGAACTATGTTCAAAGGACTGTAAAACTATGCATACCCTTTCACCCAGCAATACCACTATGAGGTCTATATTCCAAAGAGATCAAAGAAAAGGGAAAAGGACCTATTTGTACAAAAATATTTATAGCAGCTTGTTTGCAGTGGCAAAGAATTGGAAATTGAAGGGATGCCCATCAACTGGGGAATGGCTGAACAAGTTGTGGTATATGATTGTGACAGAATACTATTGTGTTATAAGAAGACTTACAGAAACTGAAGGAAAGGGAAGTGAACAGAACCAGGAGAACATTGCACACAGTAACAACGATATTGTAAGGATGATTAGGAAAGACTTAGCTTTTCTGATCAAGACAATGATCCCAGAGAATTCTGAAAGACTTGTGATTAAGAATGCTATCCACCTGCAGAGAGAGAACTGATAAAATCTGAATGTAAATTGAAACATACTTTTTAAACTTTATTTTTTTTGTTTCTATTTGTCTGTGTTTTCTTTTACAACAAGGCTAATATGACCTCACATGTATAATTGATATCAAATTGCTTGCCTTTTCAAGTATGGATGTAGAGAATTTGGAACTCAAAATGAAAAAAAAATGTTAAAAATATTCTACATGTAATTGGTAAATATTTAATAAAATAGGTAAATATATATCAAGAAGGAAAAATACTTTATCAAATGTGTGTACAAATAAATATATAGCATAGAATGTGATAAGAGCAACTCCAGAAAGAATGCTCTATAAAAATGTCAATTGACATGGATCCATGAAGGGGATTAGCATCTGAGCTTGTCATTGAAGGGAGAGAAGAATTTCAAAAGGCAACAATGAGGAGGGAATGCATTCTAGTTAGAAGTAGAAGAACAATACCTACAATGATGGCAATGATGAAAATGAAAAGAACACAAAAAAGAATTCTGAGTAATTGAAATAATCACAGTCCAGAAAAAGTATAATAAAAATATACGTTATTCCTCTCAACAGTAAGGTGGGAGACTACTGTGACAGAATGTTGTATACATTGCCAGACTCAGTCATTGTATCAATTGTTTTTGCTTAGCTGTTTTCTCTATGCTACAATGGAAGATTCAATTTTCTGTGATGTTGGGGTAGGAGAGAGCTGTATCTGGATATGACTGTGATAAGCAGCATTGTACAGGGAAAAGTGAAATGAACTTTGCAATTGGAGATCTAGGTTCAAATCTCATCTTTGCTACTTTGCTGTCCTCCATGACTTTAACCTCCCTGGGCCTCAGTTTCCTCACCTGTAAAATTGGAGGGTTGAACTAAATATTCCCTAAACTCTCTTCCCTCTCTTCATCTATGGCCCTATGATTAGTTGAATGTATCAATAAAACATTACTAATAATATTATAAATACTATTTTAAAGAAAGTCTCAGAGTCAAGATTCATTCTCTAACTCTGATAACTAATCCACGGATCTTTCCACTAGAACACATTCTCTCTAAAACTTGTACGAATGTAAGATCTACGGAATACATTTTTTAAATTATCGCGGACTTAGAAAATATTAAATGCTTTAATGACTTCCTATGAGTCACACAGCTGCTGCTATCTGAAAAGAAGAATTAAGGGAGGGAGATTGTTGGAATGTCCTCTGATAAACAGGAAGTGCTTCTTCTGAAAATTTGCACAAGTCAGCTGAGAAGGAGCAAACAGGGCCTGATAAGAAATGTCAGCTTCCTTGGGTCAGGCCCTGTTCCTTCTTTAGAACTTCAGGGGCTACCACCGGACTGCACTTATCTTGAACAAAGCTTGGTTGACCTAAAATTCCTGAACTGCCTACCCCAGACTCTTTGCTTCAAGCCCACTGAATGTGAAACGATCATAGCAGACCTTACACAGCTCCCCCATTCCCACTGTTAAAGATTTACTGATGACTCCAGAGGAGAAAAGTGGGGAGATCTCCCTTTGCTTGAGAGGGAGCTTTCCTGATCTCTTTGACTATTAAGGCTCTTTCCCCTCTCCCCAAACTAGTCTACATATACTCAGTTTACCTGTTGTAGATCCTCAATAGAATGCAGATTAACAACAACAACAATAATAATAACTTGCATTTAGATAGCATTTTAACATTTACAAAGAGTTTTGCATTTGATCCTAACCACCATCTGAGGTAAATGCTCTTATTATTCCACTTTTACATCTATGAGGAAACTGAGGTCACACGGCTAGTAGCAGCCTGATGGAGGATTATGAATTAATATATTCTTGATGTCAAATTTCAGCGCTTTATCTATTACTCCAAAGGCAGAGATTTTTTGGGAGGTGGGGGTGGGATGGGGTGGAGGACGGGTATGATTTTTGTACTCTTAGTGCCTGAAAATCAACATTGTGTAGTGCCTCTGAGTCAGAATGACCTGGATTTTAGTCTTGCCTTTGACAGATAAAGTACTCGAAATCTCAGTGTTCTAGGTAACTTTCTAAGACCATAATTTGCAGACTAGTTGCATGAGTAGTTTCTTCACTGACAGGTTTCTTCCTGCAAGGATGAAATCATGGGTTTGGATCTGGTATTTCATTGGTGTAGGAAACTCCCAGTGAGGATATGGTGGATAAAGGGCCAGCCTCTGAGTCAGAATGACCTGGATTCCAATCCTGCCTCTGAAACATATTGGCTATGTGACCCTGGTCAAAGTGATTGACATCTCAATGTTCGAAGTAACTTTCTAAGACCATAATTTGCAGACCAATTGCACTGGTAGTTTCTTCACTGGGAGGTTTCTTCTTGCCAGGGTGAAATCACAGGTCTGGATCTGCTATTTCATTGGTATAAGGATGCTCAGTGAAGAAATTCCTTTGCATACAGTAGGTGTTTAACAATACTTGTTGGGAGTGGATTGATACCAAAAAGCAAATTCAAATTTATGAAGCCTGAAATAGGTTGAGGATTCAACTGGATAGCATCGCATCTTGTGATAATGCAAATGCATATTTTGGCTAAATTTTTTCCTCCTCACCTCTTTCACCGTTAATCCCCTTCTCTTTCCCCTTGTGTTTAACCAGGCCAGAAATGTTTCATAAGGATTAATGAATTCTCTCAGGAAGAGCCATCCAATGGAAAAAAGCATCAGTTTAGAAATCAGAAGTTCTAGATTGGACTCTTGGCTCTGCAGCTAGATAGGAGTGTGAACTTAGGCAGATGTTTCATCTTGAATCCCCATTTTCCTCATGGGTAATAATACTTGTACCTCCCAATTCCCAGAATTGCTGTGTGAGAAAATACGTGTAAAGTGATTTGTGGTCGAAAGGCACAACGTAGTAATGGCAGCTGTAGTTAGCTTCGGGGGAGGTCGGAAGGGGCTTTACCTTTCTTTCATGGTCGGATGAGTCAATTTTACCCAAGTTCAGTAAACAAATCAGTGATTAATGGATTAAAAAAAAAAAACCAACAACCTCGCTTAGGAATATAGCCTTTTAGGCCTTTTTATTAGAGTATTACTAGATTTTTTTCCTGGGATACTGCTTTCACTTTGCAATTTTTTTTGGAGGGTAGACAGAAAACTAATATATGAGCAGGGACAATTCATTAGTTATTATATGAAAAAGAAGGGCCACAGAGCACCTAATGTTGCCATCTATGTTCGTGGTAAAGAACAGCTGTGCATATGGATTGTAATCATATATGCACAATCCATGTGCGTATACACATGTACGTATGCATGTGTACATATATGTGTGCATGTATACATGAGTGTGTGTTGATCATAAAAAATGTTGAAATCCTGCCTTAGGCACTTACTAGCTGTGTGACC